ACATCTATCAAAACAATTTTTATTTTCATGACACACAACTTAACAATCAACAAATTTTTAAATGTCTAACACTGTAAACCAAACAATATTTTTTCTTATTAAACTTTTCTAAATTTCACATTTCAATTTGCATTGTATTCTATTATCGCATAATAATCCTAAGTTATTCATGTTTTTTTTAACAACACAACCTCAACTATGTATTATATAATCACATTTATATCTCCATTCTCCTACAAAATAAATCAAAGATGCTTAAACCATTACACCAGTATTACTTTATCATTTAATAATATTGATTGATAGTTATTACTATCATACCCACTTAAATGCATGTCATATTCCCTTTTTGTTTACTATTTCTAAGGACCCCATATTTTAAAAAAATTTATCAATGTTCTAACTTTCCACTTGCATTAAAAGGTAATTTATGCTTTTAAAAAATTTAAATTCCATGGGTAATGTTTCCAAAAGACGCTCTATCCAACGAAAAGCTAAATTAAAATACATTCAACAAATGTCATCTTTTATCAATGAGCGTTAGCTCGAGTAATATTGCCTCCATTTCATGAGAAACTATTTTGTGTGGAGTCCGGACGTAGCTCTACATCCGGACTCTAATTAAATCTTGACACGTGGATATTCAATTAGATTTCGTTTTTCTATTTATAACTTGTCAACCCGACCGACCCGACCCGACACAAAGATGATAATTTTGAATTTGCAGGAGTTCAGAAGCTTGGATCTATGTCATTTTACTTTTCATCTAGGCATTTTACTGCTCACATTCTCTCTCATTCAGTATTCCAGATGCTTCATTACATTCCTTCATCATTCCAGACCGTGCAAAAGTTTATCTCTACGTGCAAACAAGTGCAAGAATTTGTTGCACCTTTTTATGTGCTTTTGTTGTATATTCAAAGGTATCGATACCATACTGAGTTGTTATGACTTCTATTTTAAAAACCAAGTTGTTTTTATTTGCTTTAAAAATTTTGAATTTTTTTTGTTCATTTTAGCCTTGTTTTAACTACGCTTTAAGTGTGCTTCCGCTATGCCTTTGCTTTCATGGTATTAGTTAGTATGACGACTTTTTTAGTTTTCAAAAGTAGGTTGCATAGCTTTAAAATATTTGATTACATTTTTAATGGCAAATTTCACTACTCTTTCACTACGCATTTGCTACTGCGCTTTTGTTGCACTTTTCTTTATATTCAATATGTTTTTTAAGCTTTCTGAAACTTTTGTTGTTTCTTTTACTGCGCTTTTGCTGCCCTTTTACTGTGCTTTTGATGTGTTTTTTTTTTATATTTACTATGTTTTTTTTATTTGCAGGAGAAAGTTTGGAAATTTATGTATGTTAATTCTTTTCTCGATATGGATAATGAACTAATATTTGTTATTTATTTTGTTCAGATAAAAAATATATATGAGGACACAAAAGGATCCTTGATATTAATATAACAAAATGGAATATCCAAAGTGATCTGAACTAAAAAAAATTTGAAAATTAAATTTGACGGTAGTCGAAAACACTGCTACGTAGCAAACGCGCAACGAAATCATAGTGAAAGAGCGTCAAAAGCACAATAAATTACACATTGTATTGTCATTTTCTAGAAAATTTTCCTTACAAATTTAATTAATAGTGAAAACACTATAGTAAAATAATGTGAACTAAAAAATTTCAAAATTAAACTTGATGGGTGTCTAAACCACTCATTACGCAGCAAAAGCGCATCCAGAGCAGAGTGAAAATGCATCCAGAGCACAGTGAAAACGCATAAAAAACACAATGAAAGCACATCAAAAGCGCAATAAATTACACATTGCATTATTATTTTTTAGAAATTTTCTTACATATTTAATACATCACGTAAAAACGTTACTAGCATGAACTGAAGTAAAAAAAAAATAATTTTATTACAATGAATTAATAAAAATAAGCAGAACTCCAAACTTTCTCTTACGACCAAAATTTGTTTTAAGGGTGCTACTCCCGAAAACCCTCGACATATTCCCTGTCAGGGGGCGCTGCCCCCTCAAACCCCCGACATATTCCCTAAGTATACAGAAAAACAAACAATTATTCCTTCAGGTTGCAGTTCTTTCAACTTCAATTCTTTCTCTTTCTTGGTGCTTGCATAACGCCTTTCAAATTCCGCGTTCTATAAGCATATCATCTGCTCAAAGAACTAACCTCCTCGAAATCATTCTTCATCTTCATCGGCTCTTTCTTGTTTTTTTTTTCTTTCTCAGTAGATATAAAAAATTTATTGAGCTAAAATCTTATATATTGCAAAGCATACACGGTTATTTTTATTTAAAAAAGAGTGTTAATCCTAAAACCTAATTTAAAGGGGATGTTGAAATTCTGGGTCAGGTCAATCGGGCCGATAAGATAAAAATTAAAAACGAAATCCAATTTGAATATCCACGTCTTCAGAATACGTGTCATGATTTAATTGGAATCCGGATGTAGAGCTACGTTCAGACTCCGAACATGATAATTTCTCCCATTTCATAATGTCTGAGGTGAGGGTTTCAACTCCCATTCACGTTAGTGGTTAAAGAAAATAAAGAAATAAGATTAATACAATGTTCGCCTTTTTAAAATACAAATCATTCATTAATTCATTGCAATTAACAAAAAAACACATTCATTCATGGTTGATGCAATGCTCACAAACTATACATATCACCCCATAATTGATTAATGCAACTAAAGGACTTTTCAGGCAAATATTGCTAAAATCGAAGCATGCAGAAAACATAGCCACAAAAAAATGATAAGCATCCTTTCATTCTTACAACCTAAAACCGTAAACACTGGATGTCCCATCCGTAAATAACCCCCAAATATTTTGTATAACAGAAACTAAGAATAAAACCAGCCAACATTCGCACCATGATTCCCAAATCCGAAAGAAAGGTTATACGGAAAAATGAGAATGGTAGATGTGGGAGTGGAGAACGGTACCCTGGCCAGAGCAACACTTAAGCCGACAACAGAAAGGAAGTGAGAAGATTTGGGATCAGGAAAAGTGGAAAAAACTAACCAAAGCCGGAAAAGCTGCCGCCGGCGGAGGACAAATTGGCGGGTCGACGGAGCAAAGCTGTGCTTAATTAAGTCGGGAGATCAAGTGCAACCGTCCTTTGCTCCTCGAAAATTTATAATTAGGGATTTTTGACAGTATGGCCAGGCTCGTGTTGCCTGAGCTCGTAATGGGCCGGTCTAAAACTTATGGCAATTATGAGCCCTTTAGTCAAAGATTGGCATTTGAATTCCAAATCACTCTTGATGCATATTAAAATTCAACTAAATTGAACATCAAAATTAAAATTTCAAAATTCATAACTAATTACAAAAAACTTCAAATTGAGTAAACTTAAAAGAATTGGACTCCTCTTATGATCTAATATTTATGAAAAATACTAAACTTTTATAATTCAATAAAATAAAAGAAGTCAACATTTTGATTAACCTATTCCAAAACATCTCAAAATTTTAAAAAATCATAACTAATTATAAAAAGTTATAAATCTAACAAACTCAGTGGCACTTGACTCATCTTAGAGTATAATATTTATTAAAAATATAAAAAACTCCTCAATCTAAAGTAAATCAAAAAGTCAAGAAATAGACCTTTTATTTAGTGCATTAAAATATTCCATAAAATACTAAAAATCAAATTTATTATAAACTACCAATCTAATCAATTAAATATGATTATAACATTAGAATTGTATAACCAATATTTCATCAATGAAGTTTTTAGGATGGACAACCTCGGGTTTCGAGGGTAAGTGTCATAAGTATGCACTAGGTCCTCGTGCCCGTTGTGACAATGCCATGAACATATTTGATGGAATGCAAATCATAAATCACAATCCTAACAAATCATTAACAACATAATTACAAATTTAGACAACTAATCAAATAACTAAATCAAACATAAACCCAAGGATAATTGCTAGGTAACCCATGCTTATGAGGCTATTAAGTTAGCCCCAATAAGGTTGAAATAAATCTCGCGACCCTGGTGTAAACAAAGGCATTTATTATTCACCTAACTAATTAACCATAAATCAATAAATAGTGGAAGTTTCCATATCTTATGTAGATTTCATTTTGTAGAGCCTAAGTGTAATAAATTTTGAGGCTTAAGGACTAAAACAGATAATTAAAATTTAAGACTTTAGAGAACTAATAATTAATCAACTTTAACATCTAAAACTGATTCTGAAATGAACACCAAAACATCAAACTTAAGCCCAAATTAAATCTTCCTTCAGCCTACAACAAACTAAAGAAAATATCAGAAAACTCCAAACAACAACCCACTTAGGATACATCAAAATTACATAGCCTGATGCACACATTGTAGATGACATGTTAAGACAACCAACTCTAATTACACAGCCTGGTGATATATCATTTATAATGACATATTCGACTTCAAAACTGAAAAATTAAAAAATCTATATTCAAATTTTCCAAAAAAAATACAATTACATTTAATTTACACATTTCACGAGCAAACATCTTATTGAAATTTTGATTTACATAATTAAATATTTAGATTACTTATTTAATAATAAATGCTAAAATTAGCAAACTAGACCAATTATAGTTAGTGATATAACTTTCACTAAAATATGCATAAATATGACTAAGGTAAGCTTACTTACTATTAAGTATGCAATCAATACTTAATTGTTTAAGAATTTCTTACTAATAATAAGTCCATTTGATTAATCAAATAAAACATTTAATGAACTTGTTGTCTCTATATTGGCAAGCTGGTGTCAACCAAAATAATAAAAAATGATGTATAAATCAGTAATAAGGTTCTTTTAAAATTTACAAACAAAGTCTATAATAAGATTAATAATCACTAACCACAATTTTACAAAATCTTGCAGCAAAGTCTAAAATAAGATTAATCGCAAAAAATATTAAATCAACACCAAGAGTAAGAACACAAAGAATTACTTGGTTCAACATATTTGTGCACACATTCATGAGAAAAAGGAGAGTGCATATTTTTTCATTAACCTACACAAACAATTTACGATAACATTAGCAAATACTAGATCTACTTTATTTTTTCAAAGTATAACAAATTCCTTGTTGGGTGCGAGAATATACGCGGAGGTAGAGTTTGTAAATTCGCGTCCTAGCGTTGCACGAGTATTTCGCACACAAACAGAAAAGAGAAAGTGAACACCAAGGTTTTTACGTGGAAAACCCAAAAAGGGAAAAAACCACGGGGCTTCGCCCAGTTGTAAAGTTCCACTAGTGATTTTGCATATTACAGATGGCTGATTCGTCCCACAAGTTGGGATAATCAGAATACAATTTGTTTCTCCCAGGAGGTTTACAAAATTCTATGAATTCCTGGCGTTTCTCAAAAATCCGGCAGAGTTCCGGCGTCTTCAGGCGACAGGAAGAGCTCCGGCGGCGGTGGTCGAGGAGGTGAGGAATCTCCTTTTCCACTTTCTCCTCTTCTTCTTCTCTCTTCTAAGAATTCCTGGCGTTTCCTGAAAATCCGGCAGAGTTCCGGCGTCTTCAGGCGGCACATTTGGGCTCGGATTGAGTCGAATTTGGTGTCGTTGGGTTTGTATTTCCGAGACACTCAGTTCGACTGTAATTTTGCATTGAGAATCGTGCCATATCAAGATAATTTTTTTATAACATATCAACTATTGATGAGAAAGAATAAAGTTGAACATCAAAATAAAAAACTCATTCAAGTGTAAGTTATATTGATAATGAAGTAATCATTCAAATCTTTCAAAATATAAAAAACAGATGTTATAAACTGTAAGTTATTTATTATTTTATATTTAATATTCTTCCTTCTTCATTAATAATTTGAAAAAAAAAATTAAAACTGTCTATAACCTGTCCCTAGTCCGAATGTAGAAAGTTGAAGAAAAAGTTTAAAAAAAAGAAATTATGCCCCCCCTAAATATATTTTCTGGCTCAGCCACTGTCTATACATATTTTGTGTTCTGACCAAGTGGGCATAGCAATATCAGCCTCTAAGGTTTAAAGTGTTTTGCGGGAGAACTGTGGTGCTAAGGTATCGAGCGTTGTTGCGTTGGATCTAGAAATTTTTTTTAAAAAAAAAATCCTAATCCACTAACCCACCTTAAAAACACTGAAGCCATATATTTCCCCTTCCCCATTTGTGTTGCTTTGCCGAGAAAGAGAAGAGAGGAGAGAGAGAGAGAGAGAGAGAGAGAGAGAGAGAGAGAGAGAGGATTTCACCACCAGTGCATTTCCATTCATTCTCAAAGTTATAAAAATTATTCTGATATTGGTAGGTACCTCAATCTTATTTATATTTATAACGATTTTGAGTTTTGATTTCTTATCTTTCCTAAATTTGGTTAAAATGCACTATCTCTTTATTTAATAAGTTCAAACCATATTACTTTTGATATATCATATACATGATAATCTCGAGCATTTTGATATGAACATTTAAAATTTCACCAATTAATTATGCATGTATAACATTTTAACTGATTAAGATAAAAACATATATAAAATAAGTAGAAATTGATGTAACTAGTGTAGATGTAACACATGGAACACATAGTAGGGTATTTTTCATAACATGTATATGCTACAACCTATATGGCATGCAAGCTTACTAATATGAGTATATTGCTGATAAATAATGTTATATTGATAGCATAATACAATAATGAACATGTTAATTGCACTGATATGAAAACCAAAATTATACATGATGCATATATTATTATTATTATTATGATATGATATATATGCGTGTGTGCGCGCGCGCGTGTGTGTAATTGCAAGAAAGATTGGTTATTTATTGACTTATTCAGGTCGGCTGAAGTAAGATATCCTATACATGAAGGTGGGTGGATTGACTTTCTTTTAAATTATGGGTTTATGATGTAATAACAATACAATATATAGGATATGAAGTTATAAGTGGAAAAGATTTTGCAACTAACATGAATGATGACTCTTAAAATATAGCCGCCAGGCCAACACACTGACACATAATTATGACATTATAAGATATCAGAAAAATATTACATAATTAGCTGGATGTCCATATTTACATTCATATGAACGTGTATATATGCATGAATAACACGATGATTAAGGATAACATTAACATGTATAAATTATATGATACACAGGCTATATAATGCATGAAATGATACATTATCATGATGCATGATGACAATGATGCATGATACACTTTATACATACTGCATAAATAACATGGTACGACATAAAATTGATATTCATAATGTTGACTTGTATAGATAACTGATGAAATCCAAATAAGATTGCATTAAATGATATCCTTCTTATAGCCCTTTCAATAGGTTGGGATGTAACTGAGTCAATGATTATTAATCCATCACATTATTATAATTTATTATACATATTAATTCATTGTTCAGACTGACAACATCCTATTTACATGATTTAATAATTATACTATATTGACATTCTTAATGATTTCATGCATATTATTCTTCTTTTCTTGCTTTGGGTGCAGTAGTAGGTTCAAATGACCTAATGGGTTTTTGCTCCTTATGTATTTTTTAATGATTTTAGGGAAGAATAAGTACCAGCTTGAGTGAGGTATATTCGATTTTGAAGATAGCTATTTATTTTATTATATAAGATTTATACTGATTGTAAAGAAAAATTCATGACTTATGTTAATGATTTTTGAAAGATGAAATAAAATGTATATATTTTGAGAATATGAAAATAAAAATTTGCTTACACTGTGTGTATTAATTTGATATGGATGGTTAGTAATGACTTTAGTAGGTGATTAAAGAATTTAAGATAGATAATTCTTTCAAATTAAATTCTAGGGTCCCTCAACCACCCATCATTAGCAACCAACAACCACCACCGCCTGCCATAATCATTGCTACCATTGATGGTTGATCACCATGATTTTGAATTTTACATTTGATTCATTTTACTTTAAGATAAAAAAAAAAAAAAGAAATTTGATGCAGTCTTTTACACTAATACAACTATTTCAAACATTTAAAATACATTACACATTTTTCACATTATATTTATTTTACCATGCATTTCTTTTTTAGCAAACCTCTAAGTTAGTAAATTTGGCCTTATGGATCCTCTCCCATTATCATGGCTATTTGAGATAATATTTGGCAAGTTCATTCATCAAATTA